GCCTCCACGCCGCCTGCTGCAGGGCCCCAGGCCTCCACGCCGCCTGCTGCAGGGCCCCAGGCCTCCAGGCCTCCACGCCGCCTGCTGCAGGGCCCCAGGCTTCCACGCCGCCTGCTCAGGGCCCAAGGCCTCCACGCCGCCTGCTGCAGGTCCCCAGGCCTCCGCGCCGCCTGCTGCAGGTCCCCAGGCCTCCAAGCCGCCTGCTGCAGGGCCCCAGGTCTCCACGCCGTCTGCTGCAGGGCCCCAGGCCTCCACGCCGCCTGCTGCAGGGCCCCAGGTCTCCACGGCGCCTGCTGCAGATCTGGTCCCATCTCGAGGTCTTGGAGGGTCGCCCGGCCTTTTTCCCTGGTCATTGCCAATTGTCGGACAACCTCCTGGCCGCCCACCCGACTCTTGCTAGTTCTTTGCTGGTAGGTCCGTCAGGATGCCGGACCTTAAAGGGGGGGCTATGTCACGATCAGCGGCCCCCGCTGACCCCTCATCAGCCCCTGTCTCACACTCACAGCCCCATCATGTCATGTTTCTGCTCCTCTTTGTCATCATGCTGTTTTTTCTTCTGTCATTAGCCACAACCCCCTCTGCACTTTCAGCTCATCAGCCCTGATTACACTCACCTGTTCAGCTCATCTAGTTCACCTGCTCTGCACCCTTTATAAATTCCATTCTCCCTCTCCACCGGGCTGAATTATTACACCTTCCACGGTCCCTGATTTTCAAGCCCTCATAGTTTCATGCCTAGACCTCAAGCCTTGTTCTCTGGATTATTGACATCACGCCGGCCTTCTGGATTTCCCATTTTTGCCTGCTCCTCATCTGGTTCTGTTCTGCCTCTCTGACCACGGTAACGACCTCCTCTTCAGTCTAAGACCTCGACTCATGGATCACCCTTTTGGATTGCCCTTTGGACCACAAACTTTCATTGCCCCACTGTCCATAGCATTAAAGGCCTCCCTCTGCAGCTACCAGCATCCTTATTAATAAAAACTGTTAATTTTTGCACTCCTGTGTCTGGCTTATATTGAATCCAAACCTTGGTTCGTGACAGAATAATTCAGCCAATATTGATTCTAAGCCAGACCAGAAGTGGCTCTCAGGGGTCGAGAGCTCCCTTACACGTCTGGACACTCAGTTACAGTTTGTTAAAACTATGCTCTGTGCCAGGTTTTGCCTACCCACCCCAGTGACTTTTCATAGCTCATTGCCTGCTGCAGCTTGGACCCCATCGCCTGCTGCAGCTCTGACCCCATTGCCTGCTGCAGCTCTGCCTCCACGCCACCTGCTGCAGGGCAGCTCTGCCTCCACGCCGCCTGCTGCAGGGCCCCAGGCCTCCACGCCGCCTGCTGCAGG